ATCACATGGGGCCACTGCAGCCAGTGTCTCCCAGAGCTTTGGCCAGGAACCAAGTGTACTTGTGCAGGATCTCCTGCATTCCCCATGGCTGTCTTTCCCAGGGGGCCTCACATGCCCAGGCCCACATGGTAATCTCCTCTCCCTCAGCTCCTATGACCATAAATGGCCTCCAAACTGCCTGCTCAACTATGTCACCCTCTACCCTCATGTTGTCTGCTGGCATCTCTCCATCCCACCTCACCCCCAATTGTGTAGTCACATCCAAGATGAGCACTAGTTACTGACGGCTATGCCTGTCTCCTGGCTGTGGCTTGCAAGCCACACCTCGATGAGGGCACCCAGTGTGGAAGAATCTTATTCCAGGGAGCTGCGCACCATTTTCCACAAATCTTCACATGCTAGGCATTTTTTCTAGTACTTAAACAATGCAGAAACTACCGGGCATGGTGGAACACACCTTTAATCCCAGCACTCAGGAGGCAGAAGCAGGCAGATCTTGGTCTACAGGGCAAGTTCCAGGCCAGCCAGGGCTACATAGTGAGACCTTATCTCAAAAGCAAACAAGCAAACAAATGAATTCTTACCCTGAAGCTGTACAAGCCTATTGGGGTGAACAGGGCCTAGAAAGCCCAGTCATAGCTCAGTGTTTTAAGCCTGCACTGGCCCATCACCTCACTGCAAGTTGGCCAGAGCACAGTCTTCAGGCTGTGCTGAGGGCCAGTGCTTGGTAGGATCTGCAGAACAGAGGAGGATTCCTGGGGGCTCTCCTTTTACTGGTGGGCTGTAGGAAGGCTGCCATACACTTGTGGCTGGCTGTTCACTGTACTTTCCATCCTGGCTCTAGCCAGGCAGTTTGATCAGGCAGAGTGCCCTTTGCTTGAGCTGATTCCTGAAGGGGAACTGATCAGTGTTCTGTTTCAAGAAGCAGCCCCTGAGGCAAGAGGAGTGCCATGCCAGAAGACAAGGGCCAGCCAGCTTGGTGGAACTGCCTAAACTGAGACTGTCATCGTGTTCCAGCCCTGCGCTGCGGTCAGTGTTGGGCACTGGAGCAAACGGAAGAGTCCCTGTGTTGAGACCCCTGAAGTGTGCTGGTGCGAACAAGAAGGTAGTAGTCTCTAGCTTTTCTGTAGGGCTGCTCTAGGGCCTGGACTCAGTCTCCATTCAGTGTCTGTGGTTCTTCTTTACCAGACAGACACACAGAAGGACATCAAACCTCACCTGAAACAGTATCACCTGCCTACGATCAACAGGAAAGGGGGCGAATACTGAGCAGCACACCACCTGGTCACCCTTTTGGAGAGCAAGGGCAGGCGCTATGAGCAGGCTTAGGCCCCTGCGGCTGAGAGTGGACAGGCCAGAGGATGCCCTGTGTGCTGGTGGTCCTGACAATGCTTGGTGGCCCAGGGACAAGCTGCCCAGCAGCCCGTCTGTACCCACAGCCTGGAGCTGTGTGTTTGCCACCCCAAAGCAGCTGTACCGAATGTTCCAGTTTAATACATTTGTAAAACCACCTCATTCAAGGGTTTATTTCATTCTCATAATGTAAGGATTTGAGGTGACTTTTTATATGAATCAAAACATAAGATTGGGCTTGGTAACTCACACCTGTAATCCCAGCACTGGGGAGATAGAAGAGAAGACAGGAAGAGCCCAGCCTGGGCTACTCAATGAGTATCCCTGCCTCAGAAAGAAAAAGGAAATAAGAAAGAAAACAAATAAAAGATAGACCAAAATCTCTGTGATGAGTGACTTAGGCTTGGTTGAGAGGCGGCTGTGCACATTGTACCTCAGTGTTTTCCCAACAGGATTGGCAGGTATTCCAGGTCTTGTAGCTGTGGTACCTCCTAGGAGTGCTGTTTGCAGACTGCTGGTTTCCACTGCAGAATCAGGTACTGTTACTGTGGCTCATGAGAATGGGCTCCATCTAAATGTGTTACAAGCCGCTCCTTTGTGTCGGCTTTCCTGAGCCACAGCTGGGCAGGCTGACATCGTGTCCTCTGAGTGCCAGCTTTGAGTGGCGGCCATGTCATGATTGCTAGTGCCTAGACTCCCTTAGGGATGCAGAACCAGTGTCTGGTGGTCAGTGTGGCTTGGAGCAGGTAGGCAAGTTGGGCACCTTGTGCCCTAGAAAAAGAAGGCTGGGGCTAGGGAGACAGGGAGTGGTCAGAGTGCTTGGGCTCGAGAACAGGACCTGAATTGGATCCACAGCATCCATGTAAAAGCTGGTACTCTTACACCCCTAAAACCCCATCACCAGGGCAGGGAACAGTGCAGGATGGGGACGAGACAGGAGGGTGTCTGGGGCTTGCTGGCCACCAAGGGACTCAATGGAGCAGAGAAGAGTAAGTGTCACACTAGGTGTCCTGGTGCTTCTTTCTGCACATGGGTGCACACACACACTCACACACACATTTAAAAGTCCATTCCACTACAGTGGAGAGATGGGAACAAATGTAAAAAGAATGGTACTGAGTAGATTCAAAAGGGCAAAAGCGGGCTGGGGAGATGGCTCAGTGGTTAAGAGCACTGACTGCTCTTCCAGAGGACCCAGGTTCGATTCCCAGCGCCCACATGGCAGCTCACAACTGTCTGAAGATCCAGTTCCAGGGGATCTGACACCTTCATACCAATGCACATAAAATAAGTTAAATAAACTATAAAAAAAAGGGCAAAAGCATTCGTCAGACAGCTGGACTTGGGGACAAAATCCTCCTAACCCTCTTCTTGGCTTCCATTTTTGCTTTTGGTATGTTGGGGGTGGAGCCCAGGCCCTGTGCGTTCATGGTAAGCACTCATTTAGCAGTGTAGTGTGACCTAGGCTCTACTCAGCCCTAGGGAACAAAGGAACTGAGTATGCCTTCTTTTATCATCTTTTTTTATATCTATATATATATACCATTTAAATCAGGGCAGTGGTGGCGCACGCCTATAATCCCAGCTCTCAGGAGGCAGAAGCAGAGGCAGGTGGATCTCTGTGAGTTTGAGGACAGCCTGGTCTACAAGAGCTAGTTCCAGGACATGCCCCAAAGCTACAGAAAAACCCTGTCTCGAGAACAAAAACAAAAAGAAAAAAAAAACATGAATATATGTACCATTTAAAAAGGGAAACTTCCCAGGGAAGTGTTGAGTCTCAATATCTGACCCCATCACTCAGGACTCTGCTCGCCCAAGTTTCAGGCCACTAGACAGATGGGTGGGTAGGGGCAGTGCCAGGAGTCAAAGGGCAGTGAGGCTGTAGGAGAAAGATGGGTTAGTGGAGGGCAGTGAGGGCATGGAATACTCTGGGTATGAGGCTTAGAATGGACAGAGCCAGAGTTGGTGGGTGTCTCCTGCACTCTTCTGAAAGCGTGGTGTGGCCCTGGAAAAGGGCTGTCCTCCGCCTTTGCTGTTGGTTTAGGAGCCTTAGTCCAGTAGGCAGTATCCAGGCTTGCAGCCAGTCCAACACACAAGGGGACCAGAGACAGAAGCCAGCTGAGTGGGCACGACAGCATGCCCACAGTAGGACCTGCAAGGCTGGGCTGAGCTTGGGTTGGGGCAGAGAACCAGTATCTGGAAAGGCTGCAGCAAGGACCTGAGGGAAAACCTCTTGGCTTTCTCTGCCTCCTATGGGCATAGCCTACCAGCTCAGTGCAGCACCGTGGACTCTCCCATGCAGCAGAATTTGAACAGCAATTGCTCGCCAAGTGTTTGAATTGTCACCACAGCAGTCTGTGCTGGAAAAGCAGTGCAGTCTCACCTTCTTCTGCCGGCTATGATTGAAGACACTATGATGCAGCCTCCCCTCTGCCCCAGTCCCCACACGTGGAGTGACATCCATCAAGTCCTACAGTAACAGGTAAGTGAGCTGTCACTTCCTATGGCTCCAGGACCTGCTGAACACTGTTTATCCGTGATGCTGGGACAGTTATAAGACCATCTGGAAGGCACATTAGACCATGTGGCTAGGGATGAATATTAGGACGAGAACCAGGAAGGTTTGTCACTGGCACAGTCCGCTGACAGCTGTCAGCACAGCTGGGCAAATGGAAACACCAGGTAACAGACTGGGTCGAGGCCCGGAAGGACCCAGGACCCTGGACCCTGAGCGGTGCTCAGTGAGAGCTGCGGAGTGCAACTGGAGGTCTCTTCAGGCGGTCCTTGCGGCCCTGCTATTTACATGGCTTCCTCCCGTCACTCCCTGCAGACAGGGAGGATCTAGAATGGAGCTGCTTCAGGAGACTGCTAGGTTCTGTGCACCTTCCCAAGGCTAAGGCAACAGCAGAAGTGAGTGGCTTCCCTGGCCTGGAAGCCAGGAACCTAATGTGAATAAAGACAGACTTGGGCTTGCATTGGTGTGTGAACTGTGCAGTAGCATCATCCTGCTGCAGCCGCAGCTGCTACAAATTCAGACAACCTAGCAAAAGCCCCACACTCCTTCCACATGCCCCTAGTTAATGGGATCAATGGAGAAATATCTCAGACACCTTATGACTTAGTCTCGGCACATAAAACCTTTAAGGGCCCAGCTCTGTATGATTCTTTAAAAGGTGAGAAAAGTTCTCCTGCTTGGAAATACAGGCATTGTCTCTAGGTATCACTTGCAGCAGCTACAGTGGGCAGGGAATTGGACCTGAGCACAGAGATGCAGGCCTGCTGATGTCAGCCCTCCGGAAGCCCCGTGTGATGACGTCTGAGCTACCTGAGTCATGGTGCGGCTGATGGAGCTGTGGAAACTTCCAGTGTGTGCTCTCAGCTTTCACGGGCAGCAGGTGGACCCCAAACCATAAAGAAAAGGCTACGTGCTTACACTAGAGTCTTAGGCCTGAGCAGCTCCTGCAGTGTGCTGGACTGTGAGGACTGGCCCAGAGCCAAGAATTCTCAAGTGAGACATGTTTCTCAGTCAGCCTTACACTGGACTGGCAGTGAGGGATCAAGGGATGTGACAGACAAAGGATGGAGCAATTCCATACCAACCAATGGGTGAGGCCAGAACAAAAAAAAAGAAAATCACACAGCGTCAGTTAAAAAAGGGTAAACAAATAGTATATTCAAGATAATTTTAATATTAATGTTTTTGTGAATTAGAAATATCACTCTTAAATGATGAAAATTACTAGTGAAGTAACTCCCCCATTTCAGAATTACATTATTTACATATATAGTACAGGCTTGATTGCATTGGAAACAACAGTAATAAAATAAACGTTAACAGATAAAAAGGGCATCTTCACTCCATGTGGTGGAAGCCGGGAGTCCACTACCCCCATATTCAAAGTCATTTTCTATTAGCATTAAACTATTTTAAGTGCAAACAGTTTTTTTAATCTATGATTGCAGCATCTGTCTTTCTGAATTATGTATTTAAGTCAGAAGGTGACAACTGTCTTCATGAGTGCATCCCAGGCTGCCTAGTGACTACCTAAAGTAGAAAATAGATCAGTGCAAAACCAGAGCCAAGTGCTATTCATAACAGTTGAATTTAAGGTTTCTTGTCCAAGAAACATTTTACTTTACACTATGTATATATGTATATATATTATATATGGGATTTAATTACATTGAATTTTAGAGTAAAAAGCAAGAAAACTCCATTTCTCATTTTTTACTGCAGCCCCAACAGACTGATTAAAAATGGAAGCAACTCTTTGGGTTAGCAGCTCCACACAGCCCTACAGGCTGCCGCTGCCTGCCGCCTGCATGTGGCTCCAGCGCAGCTCATGGCTCCGTTGTCGTCTGTCACTCCCTCAGTCCACACGTGTCCGGGGGAGCCTGGGAGCAGCAGTGCAGCTGCTACACTACAGTCCCACCTGGAGAACTGGCCTGGTTTGGGGATGACAACAAGCCCTGCGAACAAAGCAGTTTACATTAATCCAGCAAGACACGGGGGCAGCGCAGACAGCCCCGGCGCTCACCCTTGGCCAGCGTTTCTCACAGGCTTGCATGCCTTTCCAAGGGCCTGAAACCAGGCTTTAACACACTCCCTGTTCCACCTAACTAATTCCTCTCAGAGCACTGTTCTGTGCCTGGAATGAGATTCTGTGCCCCAACACCAGCTAGCAGTTAGAAGTGTCCACTGAGGGCCATCGCAGCCTTTAGAAGGCATAGCTCAGATACTGCAGCTGCAGACAGGATCACCAGCTCCACCTCTGGTTTGTCAGGTCAGCCCAGGCCCTAAGCCAGGTGGGCTTCCAAGGACAGGGTCTAGTGGCACTTAAGGCGTTTTCTTTCTCCCTTAGTTTAGCTGACCTCCAGTGAAGAGGCCCTACAGGTACGTGAGGAGTTCAGGCCCTGGGTGGGGAGTCCTGCAGCTGCAATGGTAAGACAGCTCCCAGTGCCCTCAGAGCTGCCTCAGAGCCAAGGGCACTCACAATCTTCAGCACTGACTACTCTGCGGGCAGTTATGGCAGAGCTTGGTGCTCATTTCTGAGGAATCTGAAGATTACAGTAGTGCAGCATTAGAACTAAAATGGGGGGTAGGGGTTCCGTGGAAACAAACATCCTTTAGCCATCCCGAAGAATTATTTGTTATTATTTATAAATGACATTTAATGCTAAGTAAACACTGCTACATTTTCAAAGACTCCGTGCAGAAATGAGGCTGACAGTCATAAATGGGTCATCAGCTTCACCCCACACCTTGCTGGAGGGAGCTAGGAAACAGCTGGCCCACTGCAAGCCATCTGACCCTCAGTTTCTTATCAGAGTTGAAATCTATTGGTCTAGACAAAGCCAAGAGGCAAGAACAGATGGAATATAACAATTGGCCTGATCCGCATCTGTAGGAGCTCTTATCCCCTCAGACCCTTGTTCAGACAGTGCACAAAGAGCCACGCCCCTCAGACCTCCTGTAAACCCACCACGCCAGTGAGGGAAGGCAGATGCAAACAGGCCCTGGTCCACCCAAGCTGAGGTCGAGGACAGCAGCCACTTCAGTACATGATCCGCCTTCTGTGCCTTGAGCAGCACTGCAGACAGGGGTGGCCTGCCCTGTCTCTGTAGGTGTTGCCATGGCCACGGCCTGCCAATGGACAAGTGATGCCAACCATATGGGAGGCGCATGATTTTAAACAATAGTTAATGACTTAGGAACCAGGGGAAATAAATATTAACTGAATATAGCCCAACTTACTACAGTACATAATCAAATGAGAACTCTCAAAGGCGGGTGTTAAGAGCCTCTGAAGCACACTGCTTGCAACAGTGCACATTTCAACTTGGACAGGCCCCATCTTTGATATTTGGTGGCCAAGTGATTCCTGACTGCCATAAGAGTCAACATGAGCCTGACAATGACCGTGCCCACTCTGGTGGCCTCTGTGTCCTTTCCTTGCAATTCTGTGGATGAGGAGTTTCCAAACATCACCAGGCCTCATTGTCCATGGTGTGCTCAGGAGTCCAGGGGAACCAGTCCTTACTCTCCATCATGTGCACTATCCTGGCCACTAGGCCAAGGTGAGCACACTTGGGTCTCCTCAACCAGCGGATCACATCTACCTACCTTTCAACTCCTGCAATCCCACTCAAATGTCAGAGAATTGGGCTGTCTCAGTGGGGGTTCACTTCTGCCATGTCAGCCCTGGCCATAAGTGGAGGCCAGGACCTCAGGGCCCTCCACCATAGACAGGAAGACTATTGCGAAGGTGAAATGAGAACCAGAGAGACCTGGCCTCCAGTTCCCTGACCCTGAGGTCACAGGCTCCTGAGTACACTGGCCTGCTGGCCCCTAGAAGAATGTGTGAAGCCAGCACAGGCCACCAGAAACTGAAAACTAGAGCAGGGAAGGGCCTTAGCCCAGCACCCAGATCAAGACCACCTCGCTTTGTTACTCGCCATTAGAACAGTGACCTTCACACTGTTTATTCTTAGGATGTGTCTGCACAATCTGCAGTGGAGGCACTGGGTCTGGTGGTGTAGGCCTAATACTCTTGCACGCGGAAAGCAGAGGCCTGCAGCCACAGCCAGGGCTACAGGAGACCCTGTATGAAACGCCTGTTCCCCTAAAGAAGAGAATGTAAAATATACCCTTTATGGGGTTGGGGGGAGGTTGAATTCCACCAAGCTACATACACCCCAGCCTGTCACCATTAGTCCATGCTATAGTGTAAAGCCTGGGAGGTGAAAGGGGAAGTGGCCACACCCCCACTGAAACAGTGTCAAGCGGTGTCAAGGCAAAGAGCCACTCTCGTACCACCAAAGCGTGGTGGTTCTGCAGCCCTCCTCTGATTTCTCTGCTTGGGGATGGGTGAGTCAAGATTAGAGATGGCACCCAGGAAGAACGCGTGTGCCTGCTGGGTGTGTGCACTTGGGCCAGCCTAGCCCTATGTACAGGCTTCACAAAACTGAGGTCTCTCCAGCAGGGACCCTAGTCCCAGCGATAAGACAACTCTTGAACCTGAGCTCTTCTGGTCTCACCAAATTTGCTAACATTGCTGGATATTTCATTTTAAAATTACACAACAAAATACTCCAGGTCTTGGTTTGGGTTAGATTCTAATTTACAATAATACAATTAAGCCTTATTTCACCAGGATATACAATAAAAACAACACTGTGCCTTAGAAACCAGAACAACCAAAGAACAAGTCCATTTTCCTGCCTGTCCTGGCAGATGTTGCTGAGATGGATTATAGCTGGTCGGATGCTGTACATGCAAAGACATGTCTTGGACTTCTGCTCTTTGCCCTGGGTGTGTTCCCCTTATCTGTCTGAGCTTAAGAATCCACTACTCTATTCCACACAGTCTACAGCAAAGACCAGAGAAAACCTGGAAAGAAAGCACCCTTCTGTAGAAGATATATAAAAGAGATCAGAGCAACCAGACTCGGTGTCATGACTTACTGTCCTGGGACCCTGGGTCCTGCTGGGCTGTGGGCCTTGTTCACAAGCTAGCCCTGAGAGGCCACACTGAAGGCAGCACAAAGGGGCTACACAACCTGATCTCTGGTGAGAAAAGGGAAATGTCAAACTCTTTACAGACACCCGGGGAAAGACAGAAAATGAACCGTGCAAGCGGCTGAAGGCTTCTTTGAGGTTGTACGTTAAGGGCCAGCTAAGGCCCTCATTCTGTGACCCGCCGGGCCCTGAAGTTTGCCACAGAGGAAATCTTCTCTGGCTTACCCCCTGCAGGAGCTGCCCAGAGTACAGCCAAAAGCAGAGACTGGTTTCAGAGGCACGGCTCCAAGACAGAGCTGCTACAGAATCACTAACTACAACACTAACGGCACCCACATCTACAGGTAGCCCTACACCAAGGGACAACTCCTTGTCTCCAAGTATATAGTAGCTATGTCTTAAAAAAAAAATCAAACGGTATGGTTTCCTTTAAACAAAGGAGAAAATGTCGTTAGCCTCTTTTAGGCCTGTAAAGCTATTTAGTTTCTAAGAAAAAGCCCCCCTGTGCTGCTCGTGTGTGTGTGTGTGTGTGTGTGTGTGTGTGTGTGTGTGTGTGTGTGTGTAGGGGTCCCTTTGAACTACAGGTTTGAACAGCTCTCCTGCATGGCAGCACACAGTCAACCCGTTCTGCACCCAGAGTCAGGCAGTAAGGAAACACCCTGGAACTATCTGTGGGGGTTCCGAGGCAGAGAGCACAGGACCACAGCAGCTTGGAGGAGAGGCAGCTAAGCAAGAACCCAGTGTCTCAGGAAACAAGAGCTGACAGGTGAGTGGGAGCACCTTGGTCCAGCTCTCTCTCCCCATGTCACCCTGGCATGTCACCTGTAATTCCTGCATGTAAACATTTGGAGATGGGGTGACTGGTGAAGTCTATGTACTGAGGGACAATATGCAGGGCTGATCCGCCTGACCCCCATGGAATGTCGCCTGCTGCCTGCTCCTGTCGCACTGGGCTCTAGGTGTCCCCCAGCCCAGACGCCCAGCAGGGGTGAGGTGGGAGTGTGCTGAAAGGGAAGAGCTCCTACAGAGGCCCACAGTGCCCTGGGCTGCCTAGGTGGCTGCAGAGCCTAGCTCCCTCCAGAATTAACATTCACATTGCACTGGACCCTTCTCAAAGAGAACGGGCCTAATCCAGACAAGCTCACACACAACTGCGGCTCTGGAGCTCAGCGTCAGTGGTCCACACAGCAGTAGGAAGAGGTGGCTTCCATGGTTATTAGTTCTAGAAACGTTAATGAGGCTCTTAATTTTACAGCACTTAACAGCTTTCTCTTTTGGCTCACTGAGATTCTTTTTTGTAAAGCTTAGATGTGAAAATGACTTATTGAAAATTCTCTACGTTTACAATGCATTCACACGTTTATTCAATGTCAGTATACAGAGGAGAGAGAGCCCCCAGTACTGCAGAATGTCAAGTATGTGGTTAGTCTCTTTTCTGTGACAGTGACAAGCGAACAGCTAAAAAACAAAGCAATGGACAGAAACATGGTTCTCAGGATTAAGGAGTAACAACACTGATATTCAAGCTTCAGTAGTTATTGCAACAGTAGGAGCTCGGGTCCTGGTGTTTCACAGCAGGAGGGCTCTTCAGGAAATGTATTCAAGTTGTGAAGAGATCAGATGAAAATGTAAGAAAGGAAATACACATTTACCTTGACTCTCACTAAAGATAAATACTCATACAACTTTGCACAATGTCACCTAATAACAATCTTTAAAAGCCAAGTACACAGAAGTTAAAATGCAGGACTTCCACACTTTTAACTCAAGAGGCAGAAATTGAGCCATGACACAAAGATAATGTAACAGTTGCAGCATGAATGAAAAGTTCTGCATCAGTGTGACATTGCTCCACCAGAAGAGCATGTTCTTACAGTTGAACTTGGGCTCTGAGTCTCAAGGTAAGGGTTGCATACAAGTGCTTTTCCACAGAGAGCCGCGGGCTTCACTAACGCCACACTGCCGTCCTCTCCCTGGGACACGGCACAGCACTTTGATGAGCACCTTGTTAACCTAAGCCGGCTCGTGGTGGTCCAGTCAGCCCAAGTAGACAGCATGTTCTGGACAGAAATGGCCTGGTAGGTGTGGGGCTCCCCCATGCATCCCCGGATGTTCAGCCTTAGAAACCAAACTCCAACCTTCAAGTTCAGGAGCAGGCCTACATGGAAAGGTGCGTGGAGACTCCATGGGTGAGGGATGAGACCTCAACAGAGGACAAGCCTCAGTGGTGCAGCTGGCTCTGAACCAAGAGGCATAAGGGACCATGGACCCCTTCAGCCATGACTGCCCACAGCATAGCCTGCATTCCAGCATCAGTCACTGGAAAGCCACCACTAAACACTGGTCCTAGTGTTTTTCTCAAGTGGTCAGATAGACTGGTGGTGGCATTGGGGTTTCCACAGGACCTTTTTCTGGCCCTACATGTCCTGTGTTGTTCCTCCTCACACTTTGAGCTTGCTCAACAAAGAAGAAAATATCTCCCTCCAGCGAGAAGAGGACCTTACAGACAGGGACACACATTGTGCTAAGGTAGGCTCACTCATTTTAGCACAAATTCAATATGTTAAATTTATTAAAAATTCAGAATGTGTGGAGAAATGGCCCTGGGTGTTTTAAGAAAAACGCCAGAGGGGACATCCTGAGCTGGGATGTGTACACACCCCCACAGAAACTGCCAAGTTTTATAGCCCTTGTCACACCTGATTTCAGAATGTGGGCTTTTCTAAAAAACATTCACTTTTCATCCTGACCTAAGTGACTCTCAAAACACTACTAAACTCAATCAGCATAACAGACAACCTTAAAGCTCTTTACCCCTGGAGGCTAATCTGGAGGCCAATTACTGGCAGCAGGTGTCACCCAATCTCTTAGGGACATTTGCTTTTCAAAGAAGGCACAACTTCCAAGCCTCCCAAAGGGCCGGGCTGTGGCTCAGAAGTGCAGAGCCAGCACGGCAGGGGTAGAGACCCTTGGCTCAGTCCCCAGCAGAGCTCGCACAGGAGGAGGAAAGCGGGACCAGGCTGGGGCCAATTCACCACAGCTACAGTGCAGCTGGCAGCTGCGGTGGGCGAGCAGGACAGACAGCAGGCTCTACCTGTACAGTGGGGCCCTCGGGGGGGGGGCGACACCATGGGGACTCGATTCCTGCCTGTAGGACCCTAGGACCCTCTTCTTGCCAAAAGCTCTTTTATTCCGGGGGCTAGCTACCAGAGACATTCTTGTTCATGAAAATGCTTTACAGAGGGCTGGAGAGATGGCTCAGAGGTTAAGGGCCCTGGCTGCTCTTCCAAAGGTCCTGAGGTCAATTCCCAGCAACCACATAATGACTCACAACCATCTGTAATGAGATCTGGTGCCCTCTTCTGGCCTACAGGCATACATGCAGACAGAACACTGTATACATAATAAATAAATCTTTTTTAAAAAAATTATTTAAAAAAATAGACTGCTCAAGGGAGAAACAGGGAGGTTTTGATGAGGAAGCTCAAAGTCTGGTGAGAAACTACAAACATGCTCCCCAAATTTCTCTGGGTGACTACTGTGGAAGCAGGGTAGCCCTCCCTGTGTATCATTCTTTGGAGATCAGAAACCATCATGACACAACCCCATGACACCCACCACCTCTGTCTGCAGGGCACCAAGAAGGAGCACCCGCCCTCCAGCGCCCTCTTCTGGAGCTGCCGCACCTTTAGTTCTGGTCTTGGAGAACACCTTGCACTCTGTCCTCCTGCCTGCAGAACTGCTCTGCCGGCTGTCAAAGAAAGGGGGGCAGGAATCAGTCAGGGGGGCAGAGTGGGCCTGGGGCAGCATTGCCCTGCATGCAGGGGCCAGCCTGGGCCAGATCATGCAGCTAAGAAGCCCCTCTACAACTGACCCTGGACTCTTACCAGTTCCTGAACAGGGCAGGGAAGCCCAGGAGATTAAGAGACACAGCAGAGGGCCCCAAACAGGGTTTCCAGAATAGACATTAACGGACTATACTTAGCAGCAGAAATTGGAAGAGACTGTGACCAAACCCCAAATCACAAACTGTAACATTATCATAGGGATGCAGAAAAGAATTCACAGGCCTCTATCAGGCAATATAGCTGAGGCCTGTTTTCATTCCCCCTTTAAAGGAAACAGTGTATCCACCTCTTGTTCTGCTCTCCCAATTCCCAACAGCAAGTGACTCTTGCGTCCCAGCAGATGGGGCTAGGCATGCTCCCAGGGCAGATCCATAAGGGCCCATTATCTGTGCCGGATTCACCAAGCACACATGTGATGGCTCCCTTGCCAGCAGATAGCTTCACAACTGAGACATCAGCATATCTTCATCATAAATATTACTTACCTATGATTGGCCACTCTATTTGGGCCAAATACAAAGTCCTGAATTTGGAAACTGCATACTCAATGCCTCAGAAGCATTTGAAAGTGAATTTCAGAAACTGCACATCGAGTGTTCATTTCTAACCTGCCCACCTGGCAGCCCAATTTGACCTCTGAAGTTCAGACAGTCTTCATGGTGGTGGTCTTTGCTCCCTCAGATCAGTTAACCCTAAGAACTAAGGAGTATATTCCCAAGGCAGATGGGACATGAACACCTGCTCAGGGACACAAAAATGTCTTGGCATATAGGGAGATACCCTGGAAGCTGCCATCATCTCATGCGCATCATCATCATGACAGTCTCAGTGGCTGTCACATTAAACAGGACAGGGATGGGGACACTGGTCTAGCCATGAACAAGGAGGAGCATGAGAAGGGGACTGGGTCTGGCCAGATCTTTGCTACTGTCATATCCACTACTCAGGGCAATACAAATGGTCACTACTGCTATAGTTAATGACAAAGGGGTACCAGACAGAAATAATCCTAAATATTACAAATTAACAAATAAAATAACTATCATTCTGACACAAAATACCCAGCTCAAAGAACTGGAAAATCTCCAGTAAACCTGTAAAAACTACAGATTAAAAGAATTCTTGAACAGCTGAGCAGGACCTAAGGAGCTGGAAACAAACTGCAATCCCCACCACTTTCCTGCTACAGGGGCAAGCCACACAGCACTGCTCCTGAGGGACACAGGGCTCCATGGGTAGGATCTGAGTCCTGCACCAGCATCTGTCTCCAAGAGTCCTCCTGGACTCACAGCTACCATTCAAAAACACGAAGGGGGTGGGTGCTTTGTGCTTTCCCTGTGGGGGAACTGGCCCCCCTCCCCAATGCCATATCAGAAGGTATCCTGCAGCTGGACAACCTAACAGCCCACACAAAGCAGAACTGAGAAGCCTGCCCTTGACTTCCAGCCACACCTTCCTGACCCTAAAATAAAGCTCCCCCACCCCCCAGCAAAACAGACAGAACCTCCTCTTCCCTATTGGGAAAAACACAAGCAATGCACATCTAACACATAAGTCTCAGCTGATGCGGCTGGTGTCCTTGGCCCAGCATCCTAACTCCAGGCTCTGGACATGTAGGGAGTTTAGGGCACAATTGCAATCAGAGTTCTACAAACTGCTTCTTTGAAAAACGATGTTTATTAAACAATTTTAATTGTCATAAAATGACTAAAATGGGTTTTAAAAATTAAGGCTCTTTTCTTTCTGTGGATTGCCAGACAATGTAAAAATAATATCAATCACCCTGATGAACGCTTTGTTCCTAAGTTAAATTTCATAGATTCCTAAACATTTTATGATTTAAGATAAAAAGTTGGACCATAAGTGATAATTAATGGCCATCTGTACTGAACATACACTGACCAGGTGCACAACAATCTAGTTGAGGAGTTACGCAGAAATATCCCAGTTAAAGCATAAATTTCGACGTTAGCATTTTAATGTCATTATTTCTCCACACTGTCATGATTTCCCTATAATCGGAATAGTCTGATACAGAAATGCTAACTTTGGGACTCTATATACCCAGAGGGATGACTGGCTTGGCTGGCAATTAGTCTGATTATATATTTTTAAATGCTCTAAGGTGGATTATCAAATGATTCAGAATTACATGGCATGCAGTATCCAAAATTATGGCTCTGATGCATTTAGATTTACATTAAGAAGTGTCATTCACATTCATTGTACATCCCACCCCTCCCACAAGAAAAAAAATCACTACCTAGTCAAGTTCTAGATCTGGTGCAGCATTAAGGATTAAAACTTACCACTTTACCAGGCCTTGCCCATGTGCAAATAAATCCCTCCTGACAAGCAGTGACTATACAGTCTTCAAGAAAAACCAATACAGTCAGTCTTTCATGAGCTATCTTTTTACAGATCAGCGGCTCTAACAAAGGAACATCTTCCATCCGAGGACACAGGGATGTTCCCAGAGTTTTAGCTGGGTCCGTTTTGGCTTTAGTAACTAGATTCAGTTTGTCACTGCTCTTGCTGGAAATGTGTCCCATACTATGATTTCGTTTATGGTCTTTTTCATGGTGTCTCTCCTTCCGGTCGTGCAGCGACAGAGTTGCAAACTTGCTGACCCCAGAGGCAATGGCCCCGTCCATGACGCTGCTTTTGCTACCAGCATTGGAGACTGCTGAATGTGGAAGGCTATTGGACCGTGGCAATGGAGGGGGCACAGAGTTTCCAGGTGTAGTGACACTGTTCCCATTGCTTCCAGCAGGTGGACTGGTGGCATTCATGACATTTGTATGTGTCCTTGCTCTTGAGAGGGGTTGGTGAGGGAAAAGGATGTCTTCTGTAAGGTCCCATAAACACAGTTGTGTATCCTGACCCACTGAACCAAACCGATAGGTAACACTTACAGGGCGGCTGTCTGTAGAGTTCCGTTTGGACAGCCTAGACTGTGTACTGTTCGCTCGATCTCTGCCAAAATGAAGAAGGTCCTGGAAGTCCTCGTCACTGCCACTAAACTCCATAGGGTCACTTTCTTCTACGCTAGTAGTATAGGGATCAAATGCTACAACACTGACCCAGGATTTGTGCCCATGGCCTCTAGCTATTACTCGGCAGTCTAGAAAGGACCAGACTGTCACCAAGTCGTCCTCTCCACCTGTCACAATGTACTTGCCATCTGGGCTCCAGCACACACAAAGCAAACCCCCAAAGTAGCTTTTCATTGTACCGTGCAGCTCCACTGAGTCAAAGTTGAACACACGCAGAAACCCGTCCTGGCTCACACATGCTAAGAACTTGCCATCTGGGGAGAAAGCAAACTCGTTGAGGGCCCCCTCGCCCACCGTCCACTTAAGGAGAGGGTTCCTCGTGGATTTGCTCTTGCAAGTGTGCACGGCAAAGCTCTCTCCCTGCTTCAGAAGCTGGTAGTGGGGGGCTGTGGTGCCACAAGTGTGCTCCACATTATATAAGTACATGTTCCCACTTGAATGGGCTACTAGGAAAAGGCTTTCCGAACCAGGAACCCATTTGACACAGGTTACGCGTGACTTGTCTATTAGTCTCTGTGAAGACAAAGGAGAACATGTTATCACAATGGAGAAGTTACGGTCTACTTTCCAGAAACAAACAAACAAAAACAAACAAACAAACAAACAAAAGCTTGTCTGCTCCTCGGCAAGAAGGAAAGAGTCCATTCAGGCACTCCATTTTATCCTGTGTCAGCCAGGCCAGTGAAGAGCGTGTGGCCCACTCTAGAATTGCATTTGGGTGTCAGGACCCTGTCTTTTACTAAGGGTATCAATCAATGGATAAATATCTGCTGAGAGCCTATTTTGTGCCAGGCCCCAGGCACACTGGTGTGGGACAGCCTTTGGCCCTTACAGTAGAAATAACTGAATGTTTCGCTACGGCTACATCTCCTCTCTACAAGGACTCACAGGACAAGTTTCTGTCCTCATAGCTTTCTTTGCCCTTGTCACTTTAGGCCATGGGCCTTTCTGTGGCTGCTCCAGGACAGGGAATCATCTGCAGCCTGTGACTAGCAGAACACAGGACTTGAAAACACATTTCCCGGACAGGATACAGTCTGGGCTCACTGTGTCTTTTAACCCACATCTCCCAGATTCCCGCTGAAGGTGGAGGCTGGCTTGGGAGCCTGTGCTCCACCACTGTCAATCTATTTCCTGCTCATCGTTGGTCCACTGACCTAGTTGCCCCTTTAAATGCATGTATACAGTGGCTAATCTTTAAAACCAAACAAACAAAAGCAGACACAAATGCCACTCAGATGTACAGAAGGGGTACCCTTCTCTGTGCAGACCGTGCTATAGGACTCATCAGAGCACATACCCTCCACAGGCAACAGAGCTCACCAGAAGTTCCCATTCCTGCCCTGGAACTCCCTGGAATACCTGCCAGGTATTCTCTGTTACTTCTTTACTCTTTACTGGGACATTTTACCTAACTGGTTGGGGTTCCCCAACATGAATCTCAGAGAGTCACCAGGGCACACTAGTATGGACCTGAGCTACAGCCATCTGCCTGATTGTTTGGTGACCATGTGTCAGCAATGTGTGCTGTTTCCTTTACAGAAGAGGACAGAAATGAGATAATGTGACTTTAAAAGAATGGAAGCTGGGGTGCAATGTGCATGAGGATCTGGGTTTTCATATACAGCACCAGGTACAACAACAGAAATTAAGAGCCTCCAGCTACATGACTGTGAAGGCTCACTGCTAACTCTTCCATGAGGCCAGGCTGCTCCACACTGAGTCCAGGGCCATGACTATGCCAGGTGGGTTTGCACATGTAACTTGGATCTAAAGTCAGACTATGTCCTGACCCTAGCCTCGTTTTCTCCTGTCACTATTACTCCATTCATGTGGAAAATTTAAAGATTCTTGCAGTATGACTAGGTGTAAATTTTTACCTACAAACTTAAAAAAACGTACAACAGAAAAATTCCACTGGAATTCTGGTAAGAAAGGAAGTGCTGTTATGTGATGGGGAGGTGCAGACAGCGGTGAGCAGATGCAGTGCAGAAAGTTTTACTCACTAAAATGTGCACTCCAACCACCCTAGGCCAATCTGTGGATATAGCTGACAGAGAAAACCTCTAACAACCCACTGTATGCAGACCTTACTGTTGTCCCTGGGGACTGGGCACACCAGTGTAGCAATGACAGACCAAATCCAAGGGAGCACAAAAAAGTTCAGAGGTCTTCAAACTTGTCTGAAGTCACGTCCATTCATTTACTCAGTCAACACTGAATACATACCACATATCAGACATCTATTTATATATACAGCATTGATTAAAACTGCCATCCCTTTCTACATGGCAGATGTAGTAAGGTAAATGCTGTGCAGAAAAATTATCCAGGAAAGGAAAACAAAGTGCTGAGAATGGCATGTCTTGGCAATTTCAGTCTAAGAGGATAGCTAAGAAAAGCCCCTTAATATGTGAGCGTTAGCTGGGCACAAAGTGAGGCCAGCACACAGTGTGCTGGGGAGACACTGGAGTAGCCGAGGGAACAGATGCAGGAGCTCCAGACCCTGTAGAAGTAGCAGTGTGCTACTGAGAGTGGCTGCAAAATGGGTAGCTGTCCCCTGTCCTGAAGCCCTGAGGTCTGAGACCAGCCTGCCACGCCCACTAGCCAAGTGTCCCTGCAACAGAGCACCAGCCTAGCTCAGACCGCAGACGGCACAGCAAGTGGGAAACACAACTCCTTGACCAGCGGTTACCTGACTTCAATTGTTTCTAGGTTGTTACTAGTTTGAGTGTAACAGAGAAAGAACAAAAGTGTCTTACATCTATCTTTCAAATAAAGAAACAGAAACATCTGGAACATTTTACTCAATAAATATAAGAATAAAAATTACAAAGAAGGTGGGCATTGGGCATCGTGGCTAGGCTGCATAGGGAACATCAGGACAGCTAGGAGGATATTGCAAGACTGTCTTAAAAACTATTTTTTTTAACACAGCTCAGCCAAAAAGGTTACATTTTTATTTTAGAAAATGTCTGATTTAAAAAATAAAACAAAAAACAAAGAGAAAAAAACCCAATAGAGTCATGTTAAGAACCAGTGTAGGTGGCGGATCCCTTTTGATTTTGAGTTCTCACTGGAGCAGACCCTCATCTAACTAGCAAGATACCCTACAAAGGCCTATTCCTCCAAGCCATACTGCATGTGGGTAGGGGTGGGTGGGGGTGAGGCAGGAGCGAAAGGGTCAAGGCTCTCACAGAGCAGTCGGTGGATTAGGAAAGGCTGGAGCACCTGGAACACAATTGTGAACTGAGACACAGGGCTGTGAGGTCCTAGGATAGGGTCAGGCTGTAGAAGCCATACACTGCCTCTTCCATGTGGGAGATGTGTTATAAATGTAGAATATACACTGGATTCTGCGGGTGTGGTATGGAAAAAAGATTGTCAAAGATCTTATTCCTAGTTTTAGTATTATATAATGAAATATCTGAATGTATGAGAAAAATACAATGTATTCTTAAAATTAATTTCGCCCGATTTCCATCCTTTGAAAATGTGAGTGCACACCTGCAACTCACTCTGCATTCTCCTTGACAGTGCTACTGCAGACAAGGGGCAGCACAGGCTCTAGAACAAGGAGGAAATCCTAGCAGAAAGAACAAAAGGTCAAATGGAGATGAGGTCAGGAGGTCACTGGTCTCCAACCTAGCCAGTGGCAATGTCAGGTGCCTCTGTTGACAGTGAATGTAGTGGGGACGATGAGAGGAGTATAAAGTTCATAAAGACCCCTAAGTTCAGCCCCAGAGACAGCTGGGAAGGTCAGTCTGTAGCCAGTGAAAATGAGCAGAAAAGTCAAGCAGATGGAGAGCTACAAATCTGGGACATCCTGGGATCTCTGAGGAAGATGGTTCAGCAAGGTAGAGTGTAGGATTCTGGAAAAATCTACCCAGAGGGAGCACAGTAAGGCCATGCTGTCACACTCACTATGGTGACCACAGAGCTCTCCATGAAAGAGCCAGCTTCCAAAAGACTCAGAGCCCATTTCTAAAACCACTTTTGTGAAAATAACAAAACCCAGCCCAACTCCTGGCCAAAGCACAACAGAACACTGCGGTGTCCAGGTCAAGGATCAGTGTAGAGCTGCAGACTCAGAAGTTTGTATGAACCCTTGGAGCACTCAGCCAGAGCTCTCCTCTTCTAATACAGAGAGTAACTCAAAGAGACATCGCACTACATAAGAAAAGGGCATCATGTCCACTGCAGTACAAGGGGTCTCCAGGCCCTCCGGACTAGTTAGAAGGGGAAAAGAAAGAAATCTGCAGCCACATCCAAGTGTCCATGACAAATAAATCTGAACTGAAGCTTTCTGAGGCATTTCATTTTTATTTTTCTTACTTCTACCAGCATGACAAGCAAAAACAAAAACAAAACAAAACAAAACAAAAAACAACTTGGGGGTGAGTATGCATTTTACAATACAGATATCAGCTTATAATATAAACATAACAATTGTTAGAAAGCTACAGTGCAGTGCAAGAACAGTTTTTTTTTTTTTAAAGGCAACATAAAGATAACTGGAGAGGGCTGAAGCTCTCCCGCAGAAGTAAAGAAATGGGTATTTCAAAACCACCAAGGATTAGATGTCATTTTTACCAAAGTTGAAACTTTAAGAAGTAGATAGTTGTGGGTAATTGTTGCTCATTTCTTTCCATCAGTTAAAAAAAAGGCAGCAAAACCAAAACTGATAAAATGCACAACCGTGTCCTCTGCCAGGTAAGGGCACACTCTACCACTGGCCCACCTCCAAACTTTGTTTCTTTAAAGATTTATCTTTATTTTTATTAATTGTATGTATGTGTCTCTCTGAGGGTACCCATGGAAGCCAAATTTGGGCCTTCTAGAAGAGCAACAAGTGCTGTTAGCCACTAAGCCATCTCTCCAGGCCCAACATTTTAAAAGAAAAAAAGTTTGCATGTGTGCGCATGCTCACAAATGGCAGGTCAAAGGACAACTTGTGAGAACAGGTTCTCTCCTTCCACCATGTGGGTCTCAGGCTTGGTGGCAAGGGCCTTTACCAGCTCCACCATCTCCAAAACCTAGCGGTTTCAGTCTTCATAGTTACCTGCATAATATCTCCACAAGACCGGACTCATTAACACCTGTCTCATGGAAGGGGGAAGGGCTCAGGGCACCCTAGCCAGCTCTGTGAATTGCTATGCATTAAGCAGCTAGTAGGGGAAGGAAAGACACGGTCTTCAGTAGTGCAGCCACTGGCAAGACATCCATGTTCTCCTAAGCCATCCTAATGAAACTCACTGGGAAGTGGAAAGGGATGAGCAAGTGTGCAAAGGACAACAGAGAGAAAAAGGGTGACAATATCAAAACACATGAATACATAAGGAAATGTCACGATGACACAGCTGGAGTGAGGAAAAGCAGTTAAAAATGCTTCTTTCCCATGGCCTCTCCCTGCACCCACACCTGGAGCTCACAACCACCTATAACTTCAGCTCTAGGGGAATTTGATACTTGCTTTGACCTCCAATAGTACCTGCATACATGTGCACATACAT